TGTAGGGCTGCAGGAGAGCAGAGACAGGAGTGGTGGCAGTGCGGAGGACAGAGACTGAGACGGCTGTGGGGGCAGAGAGGCCCAGAGGCGGAGACTGACTTAGTGCTTGCAGACTTGCTCTGAGCGGACAGGATTCTAGAGATTGACCTGCCACTGTAGGAATAAAGTTGAGTAACTCTTTCACCCCAGGAAAATTCCACTGTCATTTCTTTGGTCTCACTGAATTCATAGTGAACTTACCTGAGGCTGAAACCAATTGGCAAGACATAGGCAAATTTGCAAATACAGAATCTGCAAGGATCAACTGTACTAATATCTGGATGTTTCCTAAGATTTTTTAGGAGGGATTTTTATAAATAGTGCAAAGATTTAGCCTTGTAGTCAGTTGTAGGTGACTTCTATAACAAAAAGTTTTAAGGCACTGTCATATATGATCTATACACAGGCATGTGAAGTTTGTTAAAATTTCATTTTATTATGAAGCAGAGTTATTCACTTGACATTTCTGAATTCCCGCCTTCAGTACTGGGGATGGGTATAGTCTGCAGCTATGAAAATTATGGTACAATTATTTAAAATTTTTGATCAAAAAGATCACAAATCACTCCAAATTTGATTTTCAAAACCCTTATTTTCTATTTTAAAGATGAAAGAAACTAAGGGCTAGACAGGCTAAATGACCACCTCAAGGCACTTCTAGTAAGGACACCACCAGGACATAGCTACATTTTCCGTGACATATTCCATGCTCATTTCTTCAACTTGACTTTGTGTGGAAAGATGACCAGTTTATACAAGGTCAAATTAGTGGCCATGACCTCAGTAGCGTTCTAGTCTAGTGCTTCCAAAGGTTAGAATATATCAGAATGGTCAGAATTAACAGAGGGCTTGTATCTCTGAAGGGGATTGCCCCTAGGCAAGTTCACTCTGGATTTGGTGAGACCAAATAACGACCATGGAACTTGGGGGTAAAAGGGTTTTTACTAGTCTTTATTTTCACAGTGGCAGGTTGAGTGCTGGAACCATATCTGCCTCTGCCAAGTCTACAATCTGTCTCCAAGTCTACCTCGGGGGGGAGCATTGGCTGAGCTGTTTGCATATTAACACCCCAACAATAATGGCTCATTGCCAATGGGTGTGTAATCATTAGCATAGCAGTAGGCGAATTATATCATCAAGTAGTTTAGGGACAGTTGAGGATTCTGGCCATAGGAACTTCAATTTTCCCTACACGGCTGTTTAAAACAGATTTCTGCGACCAACCTTCAGTGTCTCTGATTCTGTAGGTCTGTTGAAGGCTGAGAATATGTATCTCTTAAGTTCTCAGGTGCTGCTGGCACAGATGGTCTGGGGATCACTTTCACTAAGCAATTTGAACCAATTTTTCTGGGCAACATTTCTGAGTGAGGCTGAGGAAAGACAGGTTGTACTTGCTATTCAGCTGTCTGCCACCTGTCGAAGCATGCACTGGAAATGATTTCTCTATAATTAAAACCTTTATGTAGTTCAGCTTTGAGCAATTTATTGAGTTCTTTAAAATATTCTAGGAATAATTGAAAAATCAGTGTTTCTGGAATAGAGCTGTCAATATGGGACTGGCCAGGAACTCCTAATTAGTGAAAGCTGTTAATCTCATGATATAATATTAGTCAAAGAGGAACTTAACAGTTAAGCTTTTCTTTATGCAAATTTTGGAAGTTTCATTGTCCTATGAAGTGAGGATAAGCTCATTTAGGATAAGTAGACACCACATGCCCCATTGTGGGGAAAATTGAAGTTCCTGTGGCCAGGATCCTCACCTGAACCTAAACTACTAGATGATGTACCTGGCCTGCTGCTAGGCTACTGCTTCCACAGCTGTAGGCAATAAGCGATTACTGACTGAGTCACTATATAAAGAACTCTGCCCAGCGCTCTGGGTGGAGGCAGAAACGGAGGAAGTTTATGGACCTGCAGACTGTTGGGTGCAGGTGTAATTCCATTACTTGACCTATTGCTGGGAGAACAAAGCCTGGTAGTAAACCCTTTCACCCCAAGAATGTTCCATTGTCATTCATCAGTCTCACTGAATCCATAGTGAACTTGTCCAGGGCTTAAACCCATTGGCAAGACACTAACTTCTAAGAATTTCTTTCTAGAACCTTCATCAACTATAAGGTAACCCTGCACCCATGTTTGCTTCTACAGCCTGAAGTGCTCCATGCTTATTCCTGGAAGGAGGATGGGTGGACACCTGACCAAAAGGGCTGATCAGATTCCTGCTCCAGAGACATTGAAACAGACCTAGGTATTTGTTAGATTCATTTAGTTTCCAAAACTGAAGGACATTTATATGCAGGAGCAGGGGAGTTAGCTACTTACCTTCATGTGCAAAGTGAAGCAGAGAAGTAGCCTGGAGACACACACAAAGGGAGACAGAGTAACATCCTGGGCCCCTGCTGCTTTGCCAAGTGCTGGTTCTAGTTCCTAATGAACCTGACTGGAGATCTGAAAGACTCCTGATTCTTTTTGAGACTGTGGGTTTTGGCAGGTTGAATGGGTCTTTGTTCTGAACTCTAAAATTACCTGAACTAAGAGTTTGCTAAAGACATACTCTTACTTTTAGCACCACCCGTGCTTGGGGACAGTATTAGAATTGGCAGCGAATGAGAAGCAGCAGTGCCGCCTCTGGGATGGGCTAGTTGCATGAACTTCAGTCACATTGCTGCCCTGCCTCAAATCTCTGACCTGTAAGTAGAGTGGGTTGATCTAGATGATTGTTTAAAATGGCGTTCCAGCTCTAATACTCTTGCGCTAAAGGAAAACAAAGAACGATGGGTTTGCTCACTCTTGGTCTGGAATTTTAAATGGAGCCTTATACCCTTGGAATCAGCTGGAGCAGGGCGTCGGTGTTCACGTGAAGGCACCTGGGGGAGAGCCACAGTAAGAGGAAGCATCAAGAGGGCTTGAACAGTTACCTCCAAAAATAGGAAGGAAGTTTCCGTCATTCCTAACTTCATCTTTGTTAAACTTCTGTGGTTTTCAACAAGAGATTTAGAATCAACTGGGAACCCAAAAACCACATCAAAACCAAAACTAAAAAACAACTACATGCCCTGGACACACTCCTCCCCAACTAAATCATGAATTCTAGGGACTGAAAAGGGAGGCAGGCATCCACAGATGGTAAAGATTTCCAGGTGATTGCAATCGTAGCCAAGATTAGGAACCATTTGCGTTTGTTTAGAAAAGGATGTCACTATGTTGGAAAGCTCATAAATAAGCAGTGAGGGCATGCAGGTAAAATCAGAGTTCTTACAAGCTTAAAAATGAAAACTTAAAACTTAAAAAAAAGCCAAGAGCCATATAAAATTCTTATGTTCCAAAGACTTTAATAAGAGTAATCTATATGTTTTAAGATTTCTTAAGGATATATAAGGTAGCAAAAAAATAGTCTATAAATCCTGGAATCATCAAGAACAATGTTACATTTCCTTCAGAATATTCTTTTAAAGAAATTAAGTGAACATAATATATTTTTGAGAAGGTTTCTATTAAAAATGCCTTGAAAAAAAGAATCTAAAATAGGTTTCTCTCCCTTAAAATACAATAATGAGATAGTTTATCTCAGTGTGTCAACAAAATAAGCATTGTTTGTGTGGAACTGAGACAACTTACGATGTGATAGGAGCTCACAGAAAAGCACTAAACTTTAGCCTTTGAACATTCCAGCTTCACTGGAAGAGACAATGGCTGGGAAAATATTTGTGGTCTATGGTTTGTGTTCATGCTTCATTCTCATCAGTCAGCTGCTCTCTGGTTTCTTCATCTGTTTTCACTACATACTCTCCCTCCCATTCTATATCCTGTCTACTTAATGGATTCTCCATACTGACTTTCATATGCTTAAAACTTCTCAGTTTATCTGTTTGGCATGAAGGACTTTCAGTGTGTCCTTCATTGACTACATGTTGTAGCAGTGAAGAGGTAGGAAATTTTCCTGCCCTCTTGGAATTACCATTTTAGTGCAAGAAAAGACAATTAGCAGGAAAACAAGTAAATGAGATGATTACCAAGTACGATAGAAAGAGGCACACTAATAGGTGGATATAATGAGAGGGAGATGGTGAGACTCTTTAAATTGCTTATTCACAAGTGGACTGCAGTTAGAAATGCCTGTAGAGGTTTGGTTTGTTTTTATTTAATTATGATGTCAGGATCCTACTCAAGTTAACTCATAAGAGTGATGCCAGGGTTCTTGTTTGTGGAGTCGAAGAATGAACTAGCAAACAGTCAAGGTAGGAGAACCAGGGAGACTTTTATTGAGAGATACAGTGAGAGGACAGACAGATCTCCTGGCTCATGCCAGGAGGGTACGAGAGCCCACAGTGGTGCATTGTCTAGGGGTTTTATAGGTAGTTGAGGATTTTTTGGCAACCAGATAAAAGATTTAGGTGTGTGTACTTATTACGTGATCCCTGAATATTAAAAATTAACTTAACACAATAAATTTACTGCTCTGATTTCTCTCTGGGATACTGAAGTCATAGTCTAGGAGCATATCAAAAGGCCGCCTGCCCAGCCCCCAAGGTGGGCTGAGGTATTGTCTCTTTGCTAAAGAATAATTTAAGAATCTTACTTCTTAAACTTTCTGGGTGTTAAAATGCAATCTTATCCTTAAGGTGGAATCCTTCCTGCTTCTACTATGTTGTTTATAGCTGGGTCTGCATACTAAATTAGTTGCCCAGTTTGCGAATCACTTCATCAGGTCTGAAGGAGTAAGGACAGCACTTAGGCCTGGGCCTTTAGCATGCCAAGGTCAATCTTACACATGATTACAAATGATTAGCATGATAAAAACATGTGCTACTCTTCTTTATCTGGGGAATATTAACTGATCTCACTGAAGAATGACCCTAGAGATTAATGTTTAACACAGAGTTTTGGTAGGGGGTTTCCTTGCATGTAGTTACATTGCTCTGACTGCAAATATTCTGCCTTGCTTTTTCCAGAGGCCCTCACCCTATTCTGTCTAAGCCCATGGTCCCTGTCTCAAGAGTGGGTCCTGTTCAGCTGAAGTTCTTATAAGTTTTCTAGGTAATTCTAATACACAATGAAGATTGACAACTGTTTTAAAGGAAGATCTCTTGAAGAAGATATGTGAGCTGAGACCTAAAGGAGAAAGAGGGAGCCAGCCTTGGGCAGAGAGGAGGAGATTGTTCCAGAGAGAGGCAGCAGCAATTGCAAAGCCCTGAGGTATGAGAGATTTTGGCATACTTGAGGAAAAGATTGCAGGCCAGCATAGTAAGCCCAGTATGTGAGAGGGAGAGTGGAGTTATAAAGAGGCAGGCGAGGAAAGAGCAGCTCATGCCAGAGTTTGAATTTTATGTTTTACATAGTTAAAGTTGACATAGAATGAGAAGTCACTGGAGAATTTTAATCAGGTGAGTGACATGATGTTAATATATTCTTTAAAAAGGCACTCTGCTACTGTATGGAAAATGAATTCTAAGAGGACAATGGTGGTGGTGGAGAGATCTGGTAAAGACTATAGTTTCAGCCCGATAAAAAGAAGTGGCCAGCTTGGGTAGGATGGTGGCAATGGGAGAGCAAGGAATGCACGGACATGGAAATGTTTTGAAGGAGGAACTGGTAGGTCTTGCTATGTATCGATTATTTAATTTGCCTAAGAAAGAGAATCTGAGCAGTGAATCAGTCATTCATTTGATAGACCCTCTCTGTTCCCATTACAAAGCAATATGCTATCATACGGTCTACTAGGTTTCCTTGTGTCAGTCAGTGGATGGTAGTCTTAGGATCTGGAGCTAAAATAATTTGGCCCAATATGCTGCTCATATGGGATAAAAGTTAATTTATACAGAAGGAAGAGCTTTATTTGAAGCAGGGATATGGGTATGACAGTTTCTCAGACCTTCTTAGATTCCCCTTTAATTATCACTCATTAAATAAGATTTGTCTTTAGTGAATGGTGTTATGGTCAAATATATGCATTATGAAAACTTTGAACTTCTCACACAGATGGATATAAATGCATTTTCATTAAACTCAGATTAAAAACATGCATAATTACAAGGCCAAGGTTTTTTGTTTTGATTCTTAAATTGGGTTTCTATTCTGCTGGCCTCAGGCTGTCCTGCTAAACTGTGACTTTGTGGAAAACAAACAAACAAAAATAGTTGGTTATAAAGGAGGAAGAAAATGTGGTTACTGTTAGATTGTCATAATGATGCCGAGGTTCTTGTTCACAAAGCTGAAGAATGAGCTTCACAAACACTCAAGGTAGGAGAGCAAAGCACAGGCTTTTATTTAGACATAAAGTGAAAGGACAGAACTTCCCGCTCACGCCAGGAGGGGACAAGAGAGTCTGGGGTGGTGTGTTGTCTAGGGCTTTTATAGGCAATTGAGCATTTTGGAGAACATGAAAAAAGGCTTAGGGGTGTGGACTTGTTAAGTAGTCCTTGAATATTAAAAATTAACACAGGAAATTTACTGCTCTGATAATTTTTCCCTGAGATACTAGTGTCTTGGTCTGGGAGCATATTAAACAAGGCCCCCTGCTCAGCCCCCAAGATGGGCTGAGGTATTGTTTGCTAAAGAGTAAGTTAAGAATCTTACTTCTTAAACTTCCTGGGTGTTAAAATGCAATCTTATCTTTAAGGTGGAATCCTTCTTGCCTTTTACTATGTTGTTTGTGTCTGGGCTTACTTGCTAAATTAGTTGCCCAGTTTACAACATCACCTCATCAGATCTGATGGAGGAAAGACAGCACATAGGCCTGGGCCTTTTAGCATGTTAAAGTGAACTTACACATGATTATAAATGGTCAGCATAATAAAAACATGTGCTACTCTTCTGTATCTGGGGAATATTAACTGATCTCACTGAAGAATGACTCTGGAGCTTAATGTTTAACAGAGTTTTGGTAGGAGGTTTCATTGCATGTAGTTACATTGCTCTGACTACAAATATCCCACCCTGCCCCCTCCAGAGGCCCTCACCCTACTCTGACTATACCCATGGTCCCTGTCTCAATAAGTCAAGTATGGGTAAAACAACTAAGAATATGTTTTATAATGCAGCTGGTCATATCTAAAACTCCACATATGTTCAAAGAAATCTTATAAATGAGAATATCCCTATAAAAATGTTAGTTTCAAACTTATGAAATAGTAGTATCTGGAAAAAAATACTTTAATGTTTTCAATGAGAATTCACCAAATGCTTACCTTAAATTTCCAAAATGTGAAGTACTATGTTTTTAGACATTATTATTCATACACTTTGAATGTGAAGGTCAGTCACTTTTGCTTGTGACCACATGGGCAAAACAGACATTTGTGAGTCTGCACATATCCAATATCTTGATTCACTGACCTGTGAAATCAGAAATCCTTGATTTTTATTTCTGTAAAGAGAGAAAGGGAAAACATGAGAGCCAGAACAAAAATAGTATCTTTAATGTTTCTTTTTCCTCACGGATTTCTGAGTTCTCTGTAATGGATACCTTTCATAAGTCATGAAAAATTCACTTGTGGATCCAGAGAAACTTTCCGTCAGCTTCCTTGCTTGCCAAAATTTTTAAGATCTCCTGACGTGATATGTGCGAGCCCAACAATAACAAATTACCTCTAAAATTTTAATTGCCTGTAGAAAAGCAGATTAAATTGTGTGTTCATTTGGCTGCTTGTATTTTAACCTGAATTCTGCTTTCTTTCCCTTTTCAAGAATTATTAAAATATATCACTTGAATCACTATACCATGTACAAGACTGGAGAAGAAATATTAAATTGGTTAACAAAGAATGCTGCAGAAATTCCCTTCTAGGTGGAGCACTGACAAACCTTTAGTTTAAAAATGTTCTACTAGTGAGTAGGAACATTGGTCAGATGTGGAAAATTATAGAAGCTCAGATGATCTGAATAAATGCTGAAGTAGAGGAGTCAACAACATAGATCACAGGACTGTTTCCTTCCCCATCCTCTGTTCCCTTAGACTTCTTCTCCCCATCCCCAAGTGAATGCATGTGGTTCTTTTGTTCTAGGTGCCATCTTCCATTTTCTTGTCTCTTGCTTCTGCACCTGGTATGCACTTGTTATCAAGTTCTCATAGCATCTTTTTCCCCTTCTTCACAAATTTGCTGAACTTTCATTATGACAAGAGAAGCCCTAGAAATGAATTGATAAACATGTCCTTGTTCAAATCCCTTGGGTATGGCCCCCACACAGAATGAGATGGTTTCACAGCACAACCCTAGGCTGTTTTGATCATAGAGGATGTCTGATTGTGTGACACACCCATTTCACAGAACTGTGAATTCTAGTGTCATGGAAGGTGCTTTCACAGGTGATGATTAACCTTCAGGTTTTTCTCTTTCAAAATGAGCCAGAGGAAAAGAACAACAAGAGTATAAGAGGTAGACAAGAAGTCTCCCTGCCCCTCCACCAAAAAATAAGCCATTCCCCAAAAAATAGGTCTCTGTCCCCAACTGTGTTGGGCATTCAACTGAAGGAGACACAGATACAAACAAAAGAACAGTGAGAGATATGAGCATATAGACTGTAAAACTTAAAAAAGAGAGACTGAAAATTCTCTGCAATGAGTGTTAAAGGTAAAATAGAAGTTCATTGGCCAGGATCCTCACCTGATCCTAATCTACTCGTCCACTGTGTACATGCAATTATGTAATACTTAGCCTACTGCACATGCACATGCTTGCATACCCACTGGCAATAAGCCATTATTGCCTGTGTTGCTATAAAAAGAGCTCCACCTGGTACTAGGGGAGAGGCAAGCAGAGCCTGGAGTGGAAGCAGAGCCTGAAATGGACCTGCTACTTGCAGACTGCCGTGGAGGTGGATGGGACTCTAGCACTTGACCGGCCACTGTGAGAGTAAAGCTTGGTATAATCCCCTTTTTACCCACAATGTTCCATTGTTATTTTTCAGTTTCATGAATACAGAGTGAAGTTGCCTGGAATTGAAACTGCCCTTGGCCCAGAGCTACAACCTGATATAAAGAAACAGAAATTCTGGAATAGACACTTATGAATCAGGACCAGTACAGAAGATGATAGAAGATTAGGAAGTCACACCTAACCAACAAAAGGTAAGGAGACTTAAATTATATCAGGGAAGATGAATTTCCCTGCTGTATTAGTTTCCTATAGCTGCTGTTACAAACTATCACAAATTTAGTTGCTTAATACAGTATGAATTTATTATCTTACAGTTCTGGAGGTCTGAGTTTACTTGAAATCAAGGTGCTGCAAGGAATGCAGGCTGCAATCTTTCTGGAGACTCTAGAGGAAAATCTGTTTTTAGCTTTTCCAGCTTATAGAGGCTTCTAGTGACTCTCTTATTTTATTCCATAGTTTCAGCATAGTGACCACAATGTTTGCTGAGAGTTGGCTGCGCTGGTGATGTGTCATGGACTCACTGGGAGACAACAGGGGAGGCAGTTGTAGAGTTTATCAGAGGACTTTGTTAAGGATGTGCAACCTCCTCTGGGTTCTCCAAGAAATGCTTCCTTTGCATTGAGAAAAAATTTTTTATTAAGGTATTGATATACAATCTTATGAAGGTTTCACATGAGTAACATTGTGGTTTCAACTTTCACCCATATTATCAAGTTCCCCCCTACACCCCATTACAATCACTGTCCATGCTATAGAGTCATTACTTGTCTTCTCTGTGCTATACTACCTTCCCCATGACCTACCTATATAATGTGTGCTAATTATAATGCCCCTCCTTCCCTATGGTAATCTCTAGTCCCTTCTTGGAGTCTGTGAGTCCACTGCTGTTTTGTTCCTTCAGTTTTGCTCTGTTGTTACACTCCACAAATGAGGGAAATCATTTGGTACTTCTCTTTCTCTGCCTGGCTTATTTCACTGAGCATAATGCTGTCTAGCTCCATCCATGTTGTTGCAAATGGTAGGGTTTGTTTTCTTCTATGGCTGAATAATATTACATTGTATATATGCACCACATCTTCTCTATCTGTTCATCTACTGATGAACACTTTAGTTTGCTTCCGTATCTTGGCTATTGTAAATAGTGTTGCAGTAAACAAAGAGGTGCATATGTCTTTTTGAATCAGGGATCTTGTTTTCTTGGGTAAATGCCAGGAATGGAATTACTGGGTCAAGTCATATTTTTATTTTTAGTTTTTTGAGGTACCTCCGCATTGCTTTCCACAATGGTTGAATTAATTTACATTCCCACCAGCAGTGTAGGAGGGTTCCCCTTTCTCTGCATCCTCACCAACATTTGTTGTTCCTTGTCTTTTGGATGTTGGCTATACTAACTGGTGTGAAGTGTATCTCACTGTGGTTTTAATTTGCATTTCCCTGATAATTAGCAATATGGAGAATCTTTTCATGTGCCTGTTGGCCATCTGAATTTCTTCTTTACAGAAGTGTCTGTTCAGATCCTCCACCCATTTTTTTTTTTAACTGGGTTATTTGCTTTTTGGGTGTTGAGGTATGTGAGTTCTTTATATATTTTGGATGTTAACCCTTTATCAGATGTGTTGTTTACAAATATATTCTCCTATACTGTAGGATGCCTTTTTGTTCTGCTGATGCTATCCTTTGCTTTCAGAAGTTTTTTAGTTTGATGTAGTTCCATTTGTTCATTTTTTATGTTGTTTCCCTTGATCAAGGAGATGGGTTCAGGAAAAAGTTGCTTATGTTTATATTCAACAGATTTTTGCCTGTGTTTTCTTCTATGAGTTTTATGGTTTCATGACTTAACACTCAGGTCTTCGTTCCATTTTGAGTTTACTTTTGTATATGGAGTTAGACAATAATCCAGTTTCATTCTCTTTTATGTAGCTGTTTGGTTTTGCCAACATCAGTGGTTGAAGAGGCTGTCTTTTCCCCCTTGTATATTCATGGCCCCATTATCATATATTAATTGCCCATAGATGCGTGAGTTTATATCTGGGCTCTTGATTCTGTTCATTGATCTGTGGGTCTGTTCTTGTGCTAGTACCAAATTGGTTTGATTACTGTGGCTTTGTAGTAGAGCTTGAAGTTAGGGAGCATAATCCCCCCAGCTTTTTTCTTGCTTCTCAGGGTTGCACTGGCTATTTGGATCTTTTTTGGCTCCATATGAATTTTAGAACTCTTTGTTCTAGTTTGTTGAAGAATGCCGTTGGTATTTTGTTAGGGATTGCATTGAATCTGTTGATTGCTTTAGCAGGATGGCCATTTTGACAATATTAATTCTTCCTATCCATGAGCAGAGGATGTATTTCCATTTACTGGTGTCTTCTTTAATTTCTCTCATGAGTGTCTTGTAGTTTTCAGGGTATAGGTCTTTTACCTCCTTGGTTAGGTTAATTCCCAGGTATTTTATTCTTTTTGATGCAATTGTAAATGGATTTGTTTTCCTGATTTCTCTTTCTGCTAGTTCATAGTTAGTATATAGGAATGCAACAGATTTCTGTGTATTTATTTTGTATCCTGCAACTTTGCTGAATTCAGTTACTAGTTCTAGTAGTTTAGGGATGGATTTTTTAGGGTTTTTTATGTACAATACCGTATCATCTGCAAACAGTGACAGTTTAACTTCTTCTTTACCAGTCTGGATGCCTTTTTATTTCTTTGTATGAGACAAAAATTTTTGTAATGCATATATATTCCTAAGAAAAGTGGCTCATTATGTTTTTGTTAATGCTTGGTCATATCCAATGTAAGTTAGTTTCTTAAATAGTAACTACTTCGCAAACTGGAGTTACTGTGGAAATGTGAATTTTATATAAGGAAAGAAGCACTAATTTAGAGCATTAAAGGAAGAAATCTGTTGGGATATAGGACACAATACTTCTTCACTAGTGGCTGATAACAGAGTTGGAGATTGAGGATTATCTAGATGGATGGGAAAGACATATCAAAAATGTCAAAATAAACTTACTCCAAAGATGATCTTTGCTTAATTCATAATTTTTCCCTGAGTATGCCTGGGGATGGAGCTTACCATAGTACTTTTGGACTATATCCTTCCTAAGCGTGCTTTTAAAACATACCTTTCAGAGTCAGTGATACAGTTTTTATAATTTTGGCTTATGAAAATCTAATGGTAGAATGGAAAGGGGAAGCATTTTTTGGTTTAGTGTTCATTGGCTCAATGATTAATATAATAACCCCAGAAACTCTTATAAATTATTAGGTAATTTTCTTTAATATGGCTTCTGGTTATGTGCATTCTTTAGTATTATAATCCTTCTTCAATGCCAAAGAAAATATTTTCTAGACTTCAGATTTGGCTTTTACAAAACTAAACATTTTTCTTGCTATCATTAAGATGTTAGATGATTTTGGAGACCACTACAGAGTCTTATTTACAAATGGAGGGAGCTAGGATTATGGAGCGTATATAAACAAAATCCATCTGGTATTTATGAGTTTGTGTTTATAAAAGCAATTCCCACTTTACCACTGATCATGTTTTTTTTGTTTTGTTTTGTTTTGTTTTTTGAAAGGGCATCTCTCATATTTATTGACCAAATGGTTGTTAACAACAATAAAATTCTATATAGGGGGGTCAATGCTCAATGCACAGTCATTAATGCATCTCAAGCCTAGTTCTCTTCAGTCACCAATGTTCTGAAGCATAACGAACAGGTTCTTACATGGTGAACAAATTCTTACATAGTGAATAAGTTCTTACATGGTGAACAGTACAAGGGCATTCATCACAGAAACTTTCGGTTTTGATCATGCAATATGACCTATAAACCATCAGGTCAAATATGAATATTCATTTGATTTTTGTACTTGATTTATATGTTGATCCCACATTTCTCCTATTATTATTATTATTTTTATTTTTAATAAAATGCTGAAGTGGTAGGTAGATGCAAGATAAAGGTAGAAAACATAGTTTAGTGCTGTAAGAAGGCAAATGTAGATGATCAGATGATCAGGTGTGTGCCTATGGACTAAGTATTAATCCAGGCTAGACAAGGGCAGCAAGACATCCACGGATGCAGAAGATTTCTCTCAAAGCAGGGGGGGTGAGGTTCTGAGCCTCACCTCTGTTGATCCCCAAATTCTCACCTGATGGCCCCCCTGCGACTGTGCCTGTCTTAGGTTGTTCCTCCCTTGAGGAATCTTACCCGTCTCTGGCTAACCAGTCATCTTCCGGGGCCATACAGGGAAATGTAAAGTTGGTAAGTGAGAGAGAAGCCATATTGTTTGCAAAGGTTAGCTTTTTACTTCTTTGCAGATTTATGCCCTGTGGCTTCTATGCCCAGCACTTGTCTCGAGGTATCTTTACCACCTGGAGGAATTATGATACTCGGTAAATTCGATATGAGGCACGAATTCTATTTAAGGTTTGTAATTAGGAAGGAAGAAGAAAAGCTATAGATGTAGCATATGAAGGAAACTTGGGAGGATTGATTATTTCTTTGACATATCTTCTTGTATAGTACCTTAAGTATGTATAGGTTTTAAACTACTAACTAATTTGCACACACATATTAACATAATAGGAATACGGTGACATAAACAAAGCAAATCTATAATTACCAGCCATCTCCAGTGAAGCCAAGAAAACCATTTAGGCACCCTAGGCATTTGTGAAAATTTATCTATGATATGATGGATATTTTCCAACTGTACTTGAACCATCAGACAAATTAAAGCAGCCCATTTCTGGGATCTGTTCACATCCCATATGTTCTTTTAACCATAGATAGTCTATAGTCATGAGATTTTGGGGTGCTACAACTTGCACCCCTCCCAACTCCTGGTTGAGTTCCAACAGTACAGATCCAGTCAAATTCGTTGTCTCACTGTATGCACATGCCAGCCTAGACATCTCCCTCCTCCTTCTTATGGCAAGTCCAGGAGATGGTGGGCTGGATGCAGCCACAACCGCAGCATCGTCCGGATCCCTGTGGAGGCTTTTTGATGATCATCCCCCGGCACGAGTCCTCCAGAGAGTGCTGATGCCGGAAGCTCCTCCTCATATCGTATCTTAGTTCATTTTCTGGGTATCCAAGCTAGGCCTTGATCTTCTGCGTAGAAACAAACAGACCCTTTGCCCACACTTTGACATGCCCTCTATACCACTGTGCAGAACTCATTGGAGGTC